GATGGATGATGATGATCGATGACGGTGGTGGATTGAGGCGCCAGGTAGTTAGTAGGGGGGGTGGCTAGTAGTAGTGGTAGTAGTAGTAGTAGTAGTAGTACTACTACTACTACTACTACTACTTTACTCCTACTCCTACTCCTACTCCTACTCCTACTCTTACTCCTACTCCTGCTCCTACTGCTACTGCCACTGCCACTGCCACTGCTACTGCTACTGCTACTACTGCTGAACATCCGCATGTCGTAGTCCCTGCATGGCCAGTGTCACACCAACACATTTGCCATGCGCAGTTTCTGTCGACTTATATGACCTGCCTTCGGCACTGCAGATTTCGGGGAGAGTTGAGAAGTAGGCAGGATGCTAAATCCAGCCTCCGAAGCTTCGGCGGGTTTGTGTATGCTTTCTACCATGGCCATCGACAGGAACGGCTTGAGAAAGCCTCTACAAAGCAAAGACGTCTGTGGGAAAAGGAACTGATATGGGGCTGCGCTGCACACGAAGCCGGCATCTCAGAAGTGCCTTTAAAATCAGGAGATTTTCTATCTTGCGAGCGTCCCCCAAGGTCTGGAAAGCGCGCTTGATGGTTCAATGTGGAGGGTATGGGATCCTGTGTTTCGGGTTAGGTACGAGGACTCGCCGTAGCTTTGCTTCTGAAGTGTGCCTGTGAATAATGTGTGATCTAGTCTATGGCAGCCAAGCTGGTACGACATCGATATTCATGCTAAGGAAGTCTGGGGTTCAGACCCTAAGTTTTCAACAGAAAGGACACACATCCAAAAATGGCAGTCTAGGTGGGCAGACAGCGCACGGAATGGGCAAGTGACGGAGTCGATGCCACAAATAAGACAGAGGGTTTCTGGGCGTGCACATCTGGATGTTGACGTGCCTGCAGACATGCCGCAGTCAGTTTGGTTGACAGAAAGACATGTCCTTCTCTTTACTTGCACTGCTGCATGTACTTACTTTCGATTGATGTGTGAGTGTGCGTATATACATCCGTGTGTGTATGTGTATGTGTATGTATCTATGTGTGTGTATATATATATGTGTATATATATGTATATACACACATATATATATATATGGATATGTACATATATATATATACCGATAAATTTGCACCTGCCACAGGTTGAACATTGCAGCTCTTCGAATCCATCGCCCGTGAGGCCGCCAGCATGCCATGACCGGCTCCGTTTGGAGCTAAAAGGTCTTCGCCTCCGTTTGGACCCACTTGTCTTGGGGTCCTTATAATAAAGATCCTACTATTTAGGGTACTATATTAGAGTCCCCTATTTTAGACTCTAGAAAGCTGCAGAGGGAGATATAGGCAGCTGCCATCACAGATGTCAAGACTTCACGACAGGATGCGTGGCAGCATAGGAGTCGAAGAAGCTAAGGCAAAGCAATTCGCCACAATCGCAGAGCAACGGTTAGTGATGGTCATCTGGGAGTTCAGGTTAGAGGGCGCCTGCATGGTACTCAGCCTTCCAATGGCCATGCCCATGGCACCAAATCACGAGATCCATGGCATGTCCATCTTGCGTGCGAGCCGTTTGGTTGGCAAGTCAACGCTGGCTGCTCGATGATTGAGACTGAAGTACACTTTATGCAGAAGCTGAGAAGAGCTTAGCTCGGTTCGGGGAAAGGACGCGTTAGAAATAGGCTTTGCTAGCGGATAGCAATGGTGGAGCTCCTCTCCTTGTTTGCCATCCCTGTGATCTTGAAGGCCACACATGCTGTGCAGCTCGGAAGAGAGCCCTCGGATTTCTCGCGAGCGTTCCTACGGGTAAATATGATGGAGTCGATTCCTTCATTCTTATTGCACTATCACCACCGCCTGCATCATTTCATTATCAGCTTTGCCATCTTCGCCGGACCCTGGTAATCCTCCGCACCCTCCACCACATCAGGCACATCATCATGATATCATCATCATCATCATGCCAGAACTTGTCCACGCTGCTGCAGTCGTCGCAGTCCTTGTGGTCCTAGTCTTCGTAGTCGCGGCCGTCGTTTTTGCACTGCCCTCATTTGGTATCGGTTGAGGACGGTAGATTGACCCTTTTCGGTATGCGCCGCGGACTTTCTGAGAAACGGCTCGGCGACCAAGAGCTAAAACCAGGTGAGGGCTGCGATGAGGTTGTTCTTTGTTGGTGATGATGACGACGATGATGACGGTGATGATGTTGTTGATGATGACGCTGAGGGCGAGGCAGATCATGATACGGGGTGTGAGCAGGAAATCCACAGTACCCTCGCGATAGGGATGTTCAACAGAATGGTGACTTGATTGAAGATGGCGATTGTGATTGGTGATCAGTTGACGATCGTCAACTCTTCGCATCTTGTCACACTGTGATTGTACACTTAGGTACTTGGCCTACAAATTCTTCTTTCGAGCCGGAAAGGACCTCAAGAAATATGGAGAGTGGGCAGTTGTGACTGGAGCCACGGCCGCTTCGCTAAAGGTATCCGGTTGTGCCAAGGGTTGTAGCGGAAGGGCGTTTGCGACTCTGTCCCTTTCTGTGTCTCAGTTTCTCTATCAATCTTCCTCTATGTACTGTTACCTTCCCTTGCTCTTTCTCTTTCTCGCTCTCTCTTTCTCTCTCTCTCTCTCTCTCTCTTTTTCTCTTTCGCGTCAAGAATCGGGGCGCTCCATTCGGCTTGGAGAAGCACTTATTCTTATTGCAGCATCAGCGTTGTCATTCCCACCTTACGGAGCGCCCGAACACCATGTGTGCTGTGCTTGTTGCTACTACTCGACTCGGTCTCCATGGAGCCCTACAGCAGAAACACCCGGAGTCCATCGACTCGCAGTCAAGGATGGTATCGGCAAAGCCTATGCTTTCGAGCTCGCAGCTCAAGGGCTGAAGGCTGGGCTAGCGCATGCAAGGGGGACCACCATACAGAGCCCGTCTCCAGCTCCTTCCACTGAACAGACCATGGCAACGAGGGCGACAGTGTAGCACAATTCACAGAGGTTGGGACCACCTCTCAGGCTGTCTTCTTGGCTGTCTTTGGGTCGATACATGTATAATGCTCATAGTCGTCGGAAGACCTCTGCAAGGACGGCTCTTCAACACTCTTGCACGTCTGGATTCCGGCTGTGCATCTGCACCCCCCTACCACGGGAGGTGCTGCTCGTGGCACGCAGCGAGGAGAAGCTTGCAGACACAGCGAAGGAGCTGAAAAGTGCCCGCTCAGGTCGGATGCAGTTGGGAGTCAGCTTCATGTCGGACTTGGCATGGGCTCCGGTTGTCTCAGTTTTTTCTGATTGGAGCAGTCGTCGGTAGTTTTTCATTGCGGGACTGGTTCAAAGAAGACCTTTCCGAAACAACCGCTTCTGGAATAGCAGGCGCAATCAGAATGCAACGCGTTCAGAGATCCCTGGATTTGGTGTGATGTTGCAGCACCGGAGAGTGAGCAAACAACCTTTTGGCCTTGAGCTTGTATTGGCCGGTCTTCAGCATTAGACTCAAGATTCTGGGCTGTTGGCGCGCAGGGTGTGCATCAGACATCATGCCTTTTAATGAAATTGTTTTGCAAACAGGGCATGGGAACTATGATAAGCATTCTTGATTTGTTTAGCCACAATGTCTAGATGAAGGGATGAATGAAGGTGTTGCGGCTTCTATGGAGGAAACGTTTACTCAGAAGGGAAATCTGAATCAGACAGTCTTTGCCATAGTCCACCATTACAGAAGTGCCGGGCTCCGGCAGCCCGACTTTCTGCCAGCTGCGATGCTTGGAGACGGCAAAGTAGCTGATGAAAAGTCCGGCCCAGAGGAGGAAGACAGAGTCTCGGATATGCGTGAAGGCTCTCCGCATCAGCGCCGTCGTGTCGTCCTGTACAATCGCTGAATCCTTCTATATGCCTTCAGACAAGCCTACTGATACTGCAGGGCTTTAGCGCTTGGAGCCCTCGAAGGTGCGACTGTGGACGTGCTGCAGGTCGACTTTTCCAAATTCGATGCCTCGGCTCGAGCCATGGTGAGCCTCGCCGACTACAATCGTTTCTTCGGGACATGTTGATCCTTGAGATTTCGCCACGTTGTATTGATCTACAGTCGATTGAGCTTGCAAGACAATCTGAACCGCAACTCCTGGAAGTAGGGCTGAGGCTCGCTTGACGTGTTATGTTTGAGTTGCAGGGCAGGAGGTAGAGGAACCACATGGATGGCCTCGGCAAATCCAGATTCAGACATGTGGCTAAGGATCTGCAACGACAGGGCGGGGCACATGAATGACAATGTCTAGTAAATGCCGGTTGGTTTTATCTCCCTCCCCGCCCCGGTTGTTTGCTTGACATCTTGATCATTGTGAAGCAGTCTGTCGACAGCCGACCTGCATGCGCTTTCAGCAAGCCTGCTGGGTCCCCAAGAGTGTTGGGATGTCGGCCGCCATTCCATGTGCTCGCTAAGTACACAATTGCAACCTAAACTATTGACTTTTTGTTTTTATAGCTGGGCCCAACATGCATTGCAAGGAAATCCAAGCTGGCCCCGCTGGACATTGGAATTCTTGTGCTCCGCTCGGTAAAGTCCTTTCGGAATAGGGGGCAATTGTCGGTCTTGCAGGCAACCCTGCTTCAGCACATCAAGCCACGTACGAATGCTATACTTTTGCAGAAGGCTTGCGAACATTCCAGGTGGCAATCACATGTTTCAGCCAACATTTGCAGGCGCAGTTGCTACATTGTGGGGTATAGCCGCCCCGCAAGAAGTGTTGCTTACCGTGTCAAGCATTTGTGTGAGCGGGATCCTCGCGCTCGCCTTCAAGAAATCGTTCTACAACGCTCGGCAACGAAGCGGAGGTTTCACTCACATCAACCCTCCACCTAAATAGTTGTTCTCTCGGGCAGGTCATTGTGACGTATAGAGTCACGCAGTTGCCGGGTTATGATCTCTTTAGCACAGACTATGACAATGCACGAGCCTCGAAGTCTTTGCTGGTTTGTCCCGCCTCCCTCCCCTCCCCCGTCCCTCTCAGCGCACTGCGCTGACAAGCATAACGTCTTCTTGTGTACTGTCGTACATTGAGAATAATTCAGGTACTGATTTCCAGCCCGGCCCTCAGAATGTCATATGTCGCTACTCACGCCTGCCCGACTGCAGATCAACAATGTCGGGATGTCCTACCCTTTCACGAAATACTTCCACGAGCTCAAAGACTCTGAAGTTGCGGACATCATGCAGGCATTGGCACCGTGTGCTGTTGCCGATTTCTAGTCGGCACATGTTGCTGCGACAGCTCACATTGATCTTATCACCGCGCGTGTCATCGCCCCTGGACTGGACATGTGTGACCAGCTCGGCATTCGCAGAATTCTTGACAGAATTGCCTCCGGCTGTAAGCTCGCCGTCGTTTCCTGAAGCTTGAAAGGTTTCGGGCATGGTGCAGGTCAACATGGACTCCATGACGTGGATGACTCGCATTGTCCTTGGAGAGATTGACGAGGCTTTGTTTCTTGCATGACTCGCCCGAATCGCTGTTCGAGCGTTGAGCGTGCTGGGAGTACATTGGCCCACAGCCTAAACGGAATAATGCTTGTACAGTGAGTTTCGTTGAGCCCTGGGACAGCAAGAGCGGAGCCATGTGCCCCACGTTGTCTGGATTCAGAGCCTTCCGGCTTATAAGCTTGGCAAATGCAATCTTGCAACCTACCACGAAGCGTACTGGTTTGTAATAGTTTTGCATTCTGAATGCTCTCTGTCAAGGCTCGGTCTGTTTCATATAATCAAGTATGATTGGCTTCATACCAGTCGTAGCAGTGTTGCGTTCACGATTGAGATCTGATGTTAGCACGGATTGCCTTGTTTCGTACTGTATGCTGTTCGAAGCACATCGGTTGGACATCAAAGATACACTCTACATGTCGTTGATACACCCACAAAGCCGCGTGGCCGGTGCAACTGTGGTAAAGTCCTCGTTTAGGTGCCTTCCGTTTGTTGGCATCCTCATCTCAGAATGCTTATGGAGGACCTGAAGCCCAAGAGCGGGATGCTTTTGCGCAAGCGTGGCGCCATCATCAACACCTCCTCTGGAGGGGCTCGGCGCCGCGGCGACAGGTTTTGGCCATGATAGGTTGGACTTTTCGCGAGAGTTCAGGTGCAAGTTGAGGGTAAGTTTACTGTTTGGGTCGTCGATGTTGACAGGGCGGGGGTCATGTGTCAGCAAGGTGGATTCTGAAGCACTGCTGTTGTATAATAGTAATATCGTTGCTGTTTGTCTTGGAGGATCTGTCATAAGAGAGTTGGTTCGGTGTTTCCCCGAACGTTCGAAACTAAATTCAGGCCATGTGGGGCTCGAACAGCCGGCTAGGGGTCTCTTCGGCCGAGATTTCGCAGCAAACACATTTGTGGATATCTGGGTTGTTTGGTTCTTTGATTAGTGCGATGCCGTCCTTATGGCAGGAGCCAAGCTGTACGTCAATGCCCTAATAAGCTTCGGGCTTATGCGCACGAGTCCAATGCAGAGTTTGCGTGATTTGTTTGTGCCGTTTGACAATCGTACTACATTTCTTTAGGTCTGCGAGGGGCTGAAGATATGAAGCATCCCATCTATCCAGAAATTCACGCGCCGTCCCAATGCCCGATGGCTGCCTTCTCATCAGTCTTCCACTGGTTTTGATGATCTAGAGCTTTGCCTGCGGGTTTCAAATCAGGGACATGAACTTGCTCTCAACAGCAGGGATCTCCGAGTCTCAAACGAGGACGACTTCGCCACTGCTGGCAGAGTATTCTGCAGCCAAGGCGTACGTGGAAAAGCTTCTTGGCATCCCCAAGCTTTCGTAGCGAGGAGTTCAGGGCCTCTGCAGGTATGCGTTTATGTTTGAGAGATCTATGATCTATGTGAATTGTTGGACGTGTGAAAACTTTAGAGACACTGGGCTGCTGCTGCTGCTGCTGCTGTTGCTGCTGCTGCTGCTGCCGGTTGACCTGGTGGTTGCTGTGATGGCTGTGGTGGTGACGGTGGCGATGATGGCCGTTTCGTGATCGTGATGATGCTGCCTCTCTTGAATCTGATGACCTCGGTGACATGACGAAGAAGAAGACGATACAAGTAGCAGGGACGGTGAGTGTTTGCGTACGTTTTTTGCCCGCGCTCAGCAGCTGCGACATTGCGATAAACTGGAAATTCAAAGGCATAAGGTCTCATGCCCTGCATGTTTGTGGACTGAGTAGCGTGATCCCAACATTCGCTTCAGCACCCGCGCAGTCTCGGAGTTCAAGTTCAACGCATTCATGATCGTTGCCCAATCTAAGCCCGACTGGCGTAGTGATCCAGAGGTTCTCGCAAGGCCTTGCTGCCGAGTTGGCACCAAAGGGCATCGACGTGCAGGCCCGGTAGCGGCTTTGAGGTGCAGGGTTTGGTGCCTGGGGTTCATGACTTGGAGGTTTCTGGATAGAGGTCCCGACCAGCAAGAGCGGCGCAGAACTCCTACAAGCCAAACTACACACCCAAGCTCTTGAGGTTCATGCATAAGCACCGTGAGCTCCCCCATCGAACGATGAAGATGATGAAGCAGAGAATCCGTTGCTCGCGATTTTCGATTGTTTCAGATGCATGAGGGAGCTCCAAGGGGATTCAGCTGTGTGTCCTGAGCTAGGACCACTAGGAGTGCTAGCGAATTCTGATTTCCGGACTGATATTTTCCGAGCGAATAATGCAGTGAGTGTCAGTCAGTCAGTCAGTCAGTCAGTCACAGTGTCAGTCGTGTCAGTGTGTGTGGGTGTGTCAGTTAGACATCGAACTGAACAAACGGCAACCGAGCAGAATCAGGCACAAACACCGCTGTTTGTCACGACGAAGATGGCCAAGATCAGGTGTGGATGCAGACATGTTTTGCGCTTCCTGCACGTCTGAACGTCGTGCCTCTGGTATACCGCATTCAGGGCCTGACTCTGGCCCCACAGTCCACCGAACAACCAAGGAACCTTCCATCTCTTCATTAGATATAGCTGTGCTTGTTGGAATGTCCTTCCGACAGGAAGGCCTCTATGACAGTGCCAACGCCGGAGGACTACGTGAAGTGTGCTGCACGTCAGATAGGGTATGATCCAGTGATCTCACCATGGCCGCCAGCCTGCACAGATACACTATCGTCACTGTCTTCGTTTTCGCGACCCGACCGACAGAGAGAGAGAGAGACAGCGACAGAGCGAGAGACAGAGAGAAAGAGCAGGCTTTCGCGACCGAAAGAGAGACAGCGAGAGAGCGAGAGACAGAGAGAAAGGGCAGACGTGAGCTGACCCCTCTGGCTGTGTTGAAGAAGAGAGAGAGATAGAGAGAGAGAGAGAGAGAGAGTGACAGAGAGAGCGAGAGGCTGAGTGGAAGAAGAGAGAGAGAGAGACAGACAGACAGAGACAGAGAGACAGAGAGAGAGAGAGAGAGACAGAGAGACAGACAGACCCTTGCAAAAGGTGGAGTTCCAGCTGCCAGAAGGACACCGTGAAGAGCCACCGCGCCCAGTCCGGCGCCAA